CGGCTATACATATTCATAAATTATAAAAATTGATATTACAATTATTGATTAGGTACAGTTGTATATATTTTAATAAAAGACAAAATAATTTATTTATAAATAATATCATTGTATACAATATTATTTGATACAATGGAAAATCAAAATTAGCTAAGAGAAAAAATATCAAGTGGTTATTTCAAAGGTTGAATTAAATTGCATACCATGGAGTAAGTGAAGAACACTCAACATTTCAAATGCTGTAAACATTTTTAACATAATTTTAAGTTATTACACAAAACAACAATGTCACTATTATTTTTTAGTTTTTTAAAAGACATTATATTATAATTCATAATATATATTTTTAATTTCCTCATTTCAAAGCAGATTATATTCCAGAGTAATTGGATGTACCTATAAAAATCAAATTTTAGACTAGTATATATTATAAGTATATCATAAATAAGTATTTAAAGTTTAGATTATTGAAGTGGAGTGGCACATGGGTACCCAGCAAAATGTTTTTCATCTAAATTGCGAATAATAATAAAAAACTAACTATATTTGTTCAAAACTTGATTTTTATGTAACAAAATGATCCAAGTAATATTTTTTTTTAGGAATATGAAATTAAAAATGTATGTTATCATTCAAAGAAGTAATAACTTTAAAAAAAATATTTAAGAATGTTGTTTTGTAAGAACTTAAAATTATGTAAATAAAATATTTTCAAAAATGTTAATAGTTAAAATATTGAGTAACTGAATACTAATATAATTATCACCTATATAGCTAAATAAATTGGATTGAGATGAAATTATTTTTAGTTTTAATATTTAACAGCATTCCTCAACAACACATAACACTGTATGCACAGTTGTGACAATTTTTAGTTTTCATAATTTCAAATATAAAAAGCCAATAGGTATTAAAAAATGTTTAAATAAGAAAATAATATCATCAAGATATTCAAAAAAAGGCGTATTGAAAAAAAGGCGTATTCAAAAACCAAGGTACCTACAATAAATACCTACTAAAAATTTATTCATTTCGTTTTTTAACTTCAAAAGTTGTAAATACTAACACTTCTTAATTTTTATCATAGTAGATATATCATCTACGATAGGCTTATAAAATAATAATAATTAACAGTACATTTGTTTATTATGTTTATTGGTAGTTTGATGTATAAATATAAAGGTGCATGTTACAACTATATATATATGTATATATATATATATATATATAATATCATTAAAGAAAAACTGTATGTACATTCTGAAAATAAAAAAAACGAAGGAGAAAAAATCGAACATTTCAGTTCAAGGTTATTGTAAAAAGTTTCAAAATATTATTATTTTTCTAACAAATATTAACGTCGAGTATAACCAAATACCTAGTATATCGATATCTAATTTGATGGGTTTATTTACCTAATGAACAACTATATATTATAATTTATAACTATATAGATAGGTTATGAATAAACGAGCATTATCATTTGAAAGCGGATGCCTGCCAGCGCTTTGTAAATTATGCTAATGGTTCCAGAAATGAAAAACAACTATTTTAAAAACTAATTTTTGTTTGATTTCTCTTGTATTTATATACTGAACGAGCCGGATGCATGATAGGTAATTAGGTAGGTTTTATATAAATTCCAACTTCCAAGCCACGGAGCGGGGAAACTATAATATGTATTGGTTTTACGAAGGTATTAGTTGAGAATTATTATGTTCTTAGAAAATCTATACGTCTATTATTACCTTTGATGTTCTAAGAATATCTTCAATAATAGTTGTGTCTACACTCTACACATTGACCTATCAATCCAATTATGAATCATTGTGATTTTTAAGTAAGAACCCATAGCTACCTAACTTGCACTATATAGCCTCTGCAGCTATCGTGTAATGTGCAAGTGGCATGACGCGTACTTTGGTTTAAGATAACAAAAAAGGACAGTAGGTGTCTATGTCTATCTACTCCTGAGATGGAACATATCGAAGGTACCTAGGAATGCACAACTATACGTGACGTGATCTCGGACTCTCGGACGGAAATGAGATTATTTGATACCGACATACCGTCATACCGATATATATTATATAAAGTATTTGGATAGCTATATAATATGTTAGGCACCTATAGCTTATGGGTAGGCGGCCTATATAAGAATTACAATTTTTTTTTAAGTTCAAGTTTCTTACTCGAAGTCTAGAGTTCAATATTTATGGTACGCACATATTCGATATTGAATGTATAATATACTAAACCGTATATTGGAACTTAGAAGTCACTACTAAACTAATATAAGTATTAAAGTAAATACTTACCGCAATAACATTGATTACATATACTAAAAACTAAGAGCATTGAGTATTAAGTACATTTAATCAATGCTAATAAGTAATAACTAATGAGAAATTATATACTTATAGCACAGGGGGAGGGGGCGCAGGAGGACTCTGCCCCCCTACCTCTGGCGGCGGTTAAAAAGCGTCCCCTTTAACTAATTAGGATTTTATACATTAGACATTATGCATAAAATTATAAATGGAACGCTTAAAACTATATGGAACAATATTAGTCCCCTCTGGAATTTTTTCCCACTTTAGACCCTGCTAATATATGTTCCAATGGTGACCAGTGACCATTGGCTATACCTACTTGTTTCACGCAATTACATAGTTCTTTGATGAATGGCGAATGGTGCAAGATTTTCAAGAAGAAAAATTCGATACGTATCGATACGTAATAGTTTCGTACCACCTTGTATCGGAGTTCGAGTCCGATACGGGTCGGTACGTATCGCTTGTATATTGCACGTGTAACATCTTGAACGCTCAAAATTGACCCGATACGTACCGATACACTCCAAATTCTTTCTTGAAAATCTTGGTGATTATGAGACTACGCGACTGTGCCCGTGTGCGACACTGCGACCATTCTATGGAGGACTCGTGATTTATATTTACTTTTATCTCTTATCACTCTGGGAGAACTTCCGTATCACTGGGCTATCACACTATCACATCAGTTTTGGAACATTAGAACAACACATGGACAGTGAACGTTGAGGAGCATATTGAGTAGCCCGCTTGCAGTCAGTTCTCAGTAGGTGTAAGTGTAAGACAATATCATCTGAGTTTACGAAAAACGAGTATTCGTCAAATCAAATAACAAAATACGAACAAATTAAAATCTTAAAAAACTATTCAAAATGGCTTCAGCGTCAGTGTCTAAAGGAACGTTTCAACCGGTAAGTTTTTCTACTTTTATTGCAATGTTAAAAGTTATTGGTAGCAATTGCAAACTTCATATATTTTATTACACAGTATGGATAGATGTGCAAGTGTTTTGAAACAAATAAACATAAACATGAAATTATGATTCTTTTTGTTAACACTACAAAATATGTCCATTTTAATTTTCAAGTTTTAGAACTTATGTAGGTACTCCTCTTTTTTTTCTTGATGATGATAAATTGATTACACTTCTTGAATGATTGTGAAACTACCTATGATTGACTAAATTGTACTATTTATATATGTAAAATGAACTATTAATTAATACTGAGTACAATTTTTTTAATTCGTAACGTTAGTTTTATTGTTATTTAATATTATAATGATTATAATTTGTATCAATGAATAGGATTCTGATGTCCACATCACATTTGAAGATCAACAAAAAATCAATAAGTTTGCTAGGCTTAACGCACGTGTTGATGAATACAGGGATGAATTAAAATCGAAACAAGTAAGTCAAGTTTAGTTGTTAATGTTATACCTTCAAATCTGATCATGAGTAATTAAAATTATAAAATCTAAATTACTTGTAAACCATTTATATAAATACACAAGTGGGCTGTCTGGTTGTGTACCCAATTGTATTGTTTTGTAAATTATACAGTCTTAGACCCAGGTAAGAATACAAAAAAATTCAAGATGACATTTAATCTAATTTGATTTATTGTTAACATAAAAATACTTACATGTCTATTTTGTTACACTGAGACCAACTCATCTTCAATTAATCTGTTTAGACAACATTAAAGAACTTAGAAGATGCTTCTGAAGAGTTAATGTTATTAGATGAGGACGATTGTCCAAATCTTCCATACCTTTCTGGAGAAACTTTCGTATACTATAACCTAGAAACTGCACAGGTATGCATGACATCATTTTTATCATTATGTAAAAAATAATGTTTTTAACTGTTTGATGTGATGTCTGTATAGAACAATTTGGAAGAATTGAAGAAAACTGTTGGAAAAGAGATGAAGGATATTGAAACGAAAATCAAAGATACTTCATCTACAATGAGTGATTTAAAATCACATTTATATGGAAAATTCGGTAACAATATAAACTTAGAAGCTGAAGATTAAAAAAATATATGTATATTTCTTTAAAACAATGTTATAAAATTTCATATTAAACTAAAAATATAATCACATAAGTATATTTATATAAAAAAAACTTATAACCCAGCTTTCAATTAACATTAAAAAAAAATATAAACTAAATTTAGATACAACTTATATCATAACTTTATTTATACATTTTATACCTATTAAAAAAAGAAAATAGTATTAACATAGTAACAATAATAAACAATTTAAAAACAACTATAAAATGCGTGTTCATTGTATTCATTAATTATGGTAATTAAAAAAAAAACCACAGTTCAAAATGCTTTGGTCATTAAAATAATGTTACTTGAACCTAATTATTTTGAAATTCAAGTTCTATTATGTGTCGGATATGTAATACGATTGATACAGAAAAATAATGGCTACAATATTTTACTGAAATTCTTAACAGTTGACAAAAACAAAAAATATCCTTTATTTGTTTTGACTTCATGAATTTATTGAATTTTAAGAGATACAAAATTAAGGTTCAGAAAAATTGTAGCCTGTAGAAAAGCTCGTTAAATTTATTATTTAGTATTAAAGAACTGCTGAAATATAATATAATCATGTAATAATGAAGAAACAAGATATAAAAATGTATTTGGTCTTAGCACTTAGTGACCGTGGTGGACCGACAACATTAATGGTGTCACAGTGCCACATACTAAGCACAACAATTGTATTGGGTTAAAGGTATCACTGCCCCCTTTAGAAGCTTTAACCATTAGTTCTGGAAGTACATGAACTGTAGCAACATACAAAAATGTTCCTGCACTGAATAACATGGCAGCTCCAGTGGCATTCATGGACGATAACGTTTCTTTACTTTCCTGAAATGTATATCCACAATAATTTAATAAGCAGGTCAAATAGGTTACTATGTATCTGTATCAAATGTCAATTACCTGTCCTATGCAAAAAAAAGTGAGTAGTGCACCTACAGGTGCTGCCATTGAAAATACTAACAGATGTCTACGTATTCTTTTCTTGTCAAGTCCGTGGTGTAATAAAATGGTGACTAAACCAAAGGCAGCTGGTGCTTTATGCAACATTATTGCAATAAAAACGATCATTTCCACTTCTGTTTGAGTCGAGGCAGCTGCAGCACCCAAAGCAATACCATCAGCAGCCGCATGCACTACAAGACCTAAGGTAGCTGTCATGCTACCTGAGTTGCGGCTGGCAAATCCCGCTTCTACATCTTGATAGTTAAATAATATTAGTCCTCAAAAATAAATCTTCACAAGCCAACAAATTTAATTTGTATTGGTTAATGGGATATGTTTAAAACATTAAATACTTGCCTTTGGTGTATTTTGATGACAGCTGATCTACTAGCAACATTAGTGTAAATCCTAATACTAATGTAACTCCAATCACTGAATGAAAATTTACATCACTAAAGTCTACAGCGACTGTTATATTATCAGCACCTGTAAAAATGAATTATGGTACATAATCGGTGAGGTATTATTTACACGAATGATTTAGATAAAATAAATAATTGTAAGTCTTTAAAAGACATGAACTTGTTGACATTATGGTCAGTGTTGAATCAATTGTTGTGTCAGAAATAATGAAATAATTTTAAAAATATTTAAGTATGACAAACTATGTTTATAAGCAGGGGTTGGCAACCTTTTTGATAAATAAACATATAACTATTCAAGTGTCACAGTTTGAATATACTTTATTTTATTTTGAGCATAAATGTATAAAATATATAATTCACATCAAATAGTTGATTTAAGTTCATAACTGTTAAGTTTATAAATTTTCCAAGATATTTACAAACAAAAGTTTTCAATCTTTACTATTTTTTTTCAAGATTTTTATACAAATTATAAATTTTACTCGCAGACTAAACACATTAACAATGAGGGCTAGATGCGGCTCGTGGGCCATAGAATACGTTTTATAATATTTCCCATTAGGTTATCAGTACTTTTTATACTTTTTTAGAAAATGCCACCCTTTTAGACAGGAAAATTAGGTTACACTAATGAATTTATAACAATTTTCATATTAACACAAAAATGTAAAAGTCAACTAGTCATGTTTTTATTGATAGAGGTGTGCTCTAGATTTAAAGATCCCAAATGTAAAACCAGCCATATGAGATACAAGAAATGTAATAAATATTACAATAAAAAGATGATTAGCAAGTGTTGTTCCTTATTCTTCATAGATTAAATACCATTATGACTCAATAGATAATATTGATAGTATATTCAGGGGCATATTCACAAATTATGTATCATAAAATTATTATAAGTTTAGCAAAGCAATTCATTTTTTATGGTTTGTGGGGGCAATAACAATTCACAAACTAGTACCAGAGAATTACATACATTTCTATAACCTATAGAACAGGGGTCGGCAAGTAATTTCTATTGGAGTACTAAAGATTAAAATAATAAATCAATGTGGTCCAGCGGAAAAAATCTTTTTCAAATCTTTATATTTTAAAAATAACAATGCCGTTTTAAATGTCCACTTTGAATAATAGCGACAGTTGAATTGTAAATTAAACAGACTGGAATGGCTCCAACCCTTTCAGGCAACACAAAACAATATAGTTCTGACCACTCGTTCATAAAATTCCTATTTTTGCTGTCACTTTTTGCGTGTCTTACTCAACATATTGAACGAATAATAAGAAGAAATAATATACATGTTGACAGGGTTCAGAGTTTTGCCTTTCACGATCCACCAGTTTCCGAACCCTGCAATAGAACATAATTTAATGACTATGTCAGCATGGATTGAGCCAACCACACACTTCCATATGTTGACGAAATGTCCCAGTGTTTTATAATTGCTTACTACCTATGCTATTATGCACTTTCAATCAAAATATTTTGACTGTGCATAACATTTTTGGTTGTCCTGTTTAAAAGTTAACAATTATCAACACTTCATTTACACCTATTAATCAAAGAACAAACTTTTGTGTGGCGTCACAGTCGAATAGAGGGAATGAATTCCTTCGGGTATTATCACAGCCAACGCAGTGCCGACCAGGAGGCCAGCTCCGAATAGAGACACGAGTTCCAACTTGGCCTATGAATACACAATATAGGTATGTGATATTACGACAGGTGTGAGTGAGAGCATTGATTATAATATACTCACTTCTGACATGGGCATCACTAGCGGCACACTGCCCGATAAGTAACTGGCCACCAACATCAGGACGGACAGCAGCATCAGGAACGTCGATTCGTCCATGGCGGCGAGTATCAAATAAAAACAATCACGGATTTAAAACAGAAATGCAGAGGCGCATTCGGTTGTGGTGGCTTCAAACCGACAACTGTGTTGAGCGCTAAACGCGGGATTTTGTTTTCTCTTTAGGAGCGCAAAAAACATGTTTACACATTCAGTTGTTTTATTTAATTAACTGAGAAGTTCAATAGCGACTAATTGTTGTCATCCGTGTTAAGTAAACAATAAACGGCAGAAGAGAATTTTTTTTTCAAATTGTGCGACGCCGCCACATAGTGGCATGATAGCACTGTTATTGGGTCAAATCATTAGGAATTGAGTAATACTAAATACTTCCAATACAGACAATACAGTATTACACTACAATGCCTACCTATATATAATAGTAATATTACTACCAATATTCATACGAGAAGAAATTATTTTAATAATGTTTAATAAACGACGACGTACTGATAACTGATATCCAACATTCCAACCACGGTTGTTGCCACGATGTAAGTCATTTCATCATTCGATCATACGATTCGTAGTAAGATTCGTGTTTAGTTGTTTCATGTTTATCACGATTTGAGCGATATTGATATCGTTTTTAGACATTCAAAGTGATAAAGTAAATACGGTTAAAAATTCGATTTTACAGAAAAGTAATAAACAATAAGTAAACTAAAATAGATTGTTTATAAATTAATCTAGTATTACCGGTGCACATTTGTCCATACGCTTTTCCTTCTTGCGATCTTGCCAGTTGCCAGTTGACACTTGTCACTGTCAACAAATGATGTCAAATTGTATGTCGAAGTTTCTATGAAGGGTAACGTAGGGGTAATGTAATTGTGTACTTTATAGGAAGTACCGACGTAATGGCGACTGGGTTGTAGGTGAGTACTATAAAATATAGATGTATAATATTTTAACAACGCCATTTATGGTATATTAATATTGTTTTCAGATTTGCAGAGTAAGCACTTACCTACAGAAAAAATGGATTTTATGTCAACAGATTTTGATTTGGCAGAAAATATCTTTTATTTCCATAATCCTGAAACTAAAAGTTTGGCATTTGTGCTCAACTGGGATACAAAAGAAAAATTCTACTTAAACCTTTTAAGGGTAAGTATCATTATTGTTTGTGTTTGGGCCTCTGTACTAAATATTTGTGTGAGCCCTATACAAAACTTTTAGTAATAAAATATAACCCATAACAAGCGATACGGGTGTCCCGTACACAATAATTTATAGGTTATCACTAATCACTTATCAATGGTTAACCCACGACTATTTAATACAAATTAAGTATAAATATAAAAACTACAATAATTACAAATTCATTTCATCCCCATAAAATAGCAGCGCCCATGTACTCCAGGTACAACCGCCTCTCCCATTGTGTGTGCTCTACCTGTATTATATATTATGCATAATAAATATATAGAGATGGGTCAAACCCAAAAATATGGTCTTGAACCAAATTTTTTAATCATACATCAAACCAAACATTTTTAGCTTATATCGTACCAAACAATGTACTGTGATGTCAAATTCAAACCAAACATAAGAAATATTTAGTATCAAACTGAACCAGGTATATATATATATATATTTTTGCTTCTCGTAATTCACTTATTACAGCAATACTCCATACATTAAAATGGTAGGTAATAAATAATAATAATGCGGGATTCCTAGCTATAGGTAGAACACATAACATTGGTTGACAGCATACTTCACTCTTATTCATTGTTAAGTAGTACACAATACAAAGGTAGACTTCATATTGGAAGATAGCCTGTATTTCAATTTCATAATTTTATTATAAGAAAAATTAATTTATACTATTTACTTGAAAAATGAAGTGTTTGAAATTTTTGTTGAGTTAGTACATTATTCTTGTTTATACCAAACAACTAAAGTTTGGTTCAATTTTCAAACTTCAAAACGTTTTTGACTCACCTCTTTAATATGCCTTGGTTTATCTGGTTTAATCTACCTACTTGTTTAAGATATTCAAGATATTGCCCAATAATCTTAGTTTTGTTAAAAATAAGAATTATTTTTTAGTAGCTACCTATTAGGTATCACAGTAATAATATTTAATCCTTGATTTTTATAGCTATTGAAGTAGGTATTAGGTACAACCGTATCATCCATACCTCCATACCTACCTATTAGTATATTTTAATTAAAATTATTTATATGCAGATAGTTAATGTTCAAATTCCTGTTGAATTGTATTTTTACAGAAGTCCTATGCAGATGTAGTTGATACACCAAATGATCATTCAATGGTACTTACAAGACCTGAAAAACCAAATTATTTTCATAAAAAGATCCCAGCATTTGATATTAAATACATTGAAGATTGTTTTAAAATCAAAGACTATCCTGATCCGACCAAATATTTGTGAGTATTGCCATCATCATTTTTTTTGTTTTGGAGAAATTGTAGGATAACATAAAAAATTAGTTATAACTATAATATGCTCATTACTCAAGCATGTCTAAATTTCTGAGCGGGTTCAATTTTATGCAAGTCTATTATTTTCATAACAAAGTTGTAATTTGTCTTATGTACAAATGTATTTTAATAAGTATGATTTTTAAATGTCTAAGTAGATCTACAACCATACTAGTCACACCAGTTCGGCATTTAATAATATGTCTTGCTCCAACTTAAGTAGATCATTGTTACTATATCCATGAATATTAGACAATTTATTTCTTATGTCCATGACTGAAACAATGAGTGTACTATACTCATTTTTGAATGCGCCAACTGTTTAGTGGACTGTTGTTATTTTTTCTCTTTGAAAACATACTCTCATCATTTGATACAATTTTTCGCCAGCCCCCTGATTTTTTTATCCTTTTTAATCATAGATTTATTTATTTATTTAAACGCCCAAAATTATTGCTCAGAACAGTTATTTTTCTTTAGATGCAACAAAAATTAAACATAACAACATATCTTAATATTAAATCTATTTAGCATTTAACATATATTAGTATTTAATTCTTAAAAGTACTTGTTAACATTTAAATATTGATTTCAACCTGGTTAAACTGTCATGGAAAAATTGAAATCATTAAGTATTGTTATTTATTTTATAGAATTAAAAACACAAGTCTTTCAAATTATACAAAAGATGATATACTTGATTGTTGGCTTTATCAGAATAAATCGTGGTCTGATTTAGTCCCAATTCCCAAAAACAAATATGATAATTGGATAACCGCAAACCAACGGTCGTCTTCCAATTCTATTTCTCAAGTCACAAGGTATGTACTGCTATTTTATTTTGTATTGGAATACATTGGTTATCATCTTATCTTATATACACACACAGTACAAATAATTTACAATGACACTGGCTGTAGTGACATGGTCCCTGCAAAATTCCTATATTTAATAAGCAAATTGTAATCGGTTTTTATCAGAGTTTTTATGAAATTCTTACTTCTTATAATAACTACGGATGAAATTACGTTTATTTTTGGTGAATTTAACCAAATATTTTACAAAATGACCACACAATTAGATTTAGGTCATTTTATTATCAACAGTTAATATCAAGAACACATTTCAAAATTAGGCTAAATATTAAACAATTTGTGTCAAATTGGCTATTGTTAATAGAAAGTTCAAAAATAAATTGAAAACGTTGAATATAAAATACAACACAATTCCTACATGAAATAAAACGTGTTGTAAACAAAAATAATAGATTTTTTTTATCTTTAGTACATAATATGTAAGTGATGAAATTACACTTTAATTGTTAATTATATACTTAATTATACTCTAAACATATTAACATCTTAACAAGCGTCAAGTATAGAATTAATATTTTGTGGTTAAAATATTATATAGTGTAATTATATACTGTATTGGAATAACTTTTTTTTTAAATGTTGGTTTTATGACTTATTTTTCCTGGTTCTTTAAATGTTATTATTAATGTTTTCTACACATACATTTACCAATAATATTATGTCAGAAAAAATATTTTTGATACCCACATTTATTTTGTTACTAAACAATTATTAAGGTCAGCGATTAATAAGTATCGACAGATAAGTACATTTTATCTTGAATCTACACATCAGTGCTTATTATTGTCACCGTCGTCGTAGTTTACTTGTCGTTTCGTATTGTTATATTTGCTCTCATACAGTCATCAAAGATATGTGCCTATGATTGTGTCTAAGTTTAAGCCTATGATATGTAGCCTATGATATTTTTTATTATTGGCCGGAAAATGTTACAACCTTAATCGTGCAGAATATTATAACTCTATATTATGGAATTTTCCTTTTTATTCAACTGTATGGAAGCCTGCCTAAAACGGATATTTTTATTGGTCCCGTGCAATTCCGCACGAGACAGGTTTTACTGTAATTTAAAAAATTTTATATCTATAATTACCATTAATATGTGAATGAAAAATCTATAAATGATGTATTTATTTTAACTTGCATATTTTTGACTGAAATTTTTTTTAATTTTAGCTCTAACAATAATATTGTTCCGTCTAACCATTCAATGAAAATTGCTCCATCTAGTAAAAAGTAAATATTATGCATTTATTTAATATTGTATGTAATTTATGTTAAAGTTTAAATCTTTTTTATGAAGCACAAGATTGCCCTATACTCACAAAGAAGAGATGAATATTGTTAATTATATCGTTAAGAATAATCATGCTTTAGATGTTAAAGGGAAAGCTATGTGGCAACAGATGGAACATGACAACGTAAGCTAATGAAACGTATTTGAACTGTGTTTTGAAACTTGTAACACGAGTCATGTTCTTTAAATCTTGTAGATATGTAAACTTCGTACATGGCAATCTATGAAAGAAAGATATTTAAAATCCATTAAATATGATTTGAATTCAGGAAATCATAGATTTCCATTTCTTACACCAAAAGATTTGAAACTATTGCGACAAGGGTATGTACCTACTTAGTTTTATTTTTATATTGATACATATATAGTAATATTATAATGAAAATTATTTTTATTAATCTCTATTTTAGTTTAAATATTGAACAACTTAGTGACAATGAGAAAAAAGCAATGAAATCCCGATTCAATGAAGAACGAATTAATAATTGGTCATCATCGGAGAGTTCATAAATTTAATTGGCAACAAAATGTATGCATAAAATACACTATTATGATGCCAGAAATTTTTTTAATATTCTTTTGAGATAGTTGTTGAACAATTTCTAGCGACATACAGAATATAATATAAAACCTAAAGTTATTAAAAAAATGTATTATATCATAATATTTTTATTGAAAATTGAATTTTATTAGTTTATTTAAGGTGATAGGTATTTAAATAATTAGTTAATCAAAATTAAATTGTATGTAGCAAACTGTATTGTATCTAGTTTAGGGCTCAACAGTCCAAATGATTTTTTTCGGGAACCTATGTATTTCAACAAGTTTAAATGTATAGAGCCATCAGAATTTGTCAGTCTAACTTCGTTTTGAAGTCATAGTCTAAGAAGTTTTTGATTGTGTAATTCTTACACATTTCATCGTACTTTTAACTGTGTTTATACATTAAGCTATAATAACTATTTTAGCAATTATCTTTGGGTAAACAACAGACAATCACCTAACACCTGGCCGGGTCGCTTAACTTGAGGTCATACAGACCTTACCAGTTAAAGTTAAGTTATTTAAAAAAAAAAAACTATTTTATAATCACTACACCACCTGATTAAGTAACAAATTTAACTCAAAGTTTATTTTCATATAAGTAGTGGCATTTTGTATGGACAATGAAATGCAGGGAGGACAGCTATGTTCTGTGTATTATAAAATATATAAGAACACAATTCAACTTGACAATATACTGCTGAGTGTTCACATACCTAATTACAAATGAGTCTTACAAGTCATGCACTTGGCAACACTTAAAAGGATGGCTTTAATATAATATAATCAAACGTTTCCTGACTAACTGACTGATCAACACAGTCCGTAAAGCCTAAACAATGATAGCTTGAGGCTTGCAAGTTTTACTGTCCCATTATTGAAGTGTGAACTAAGAGAGTATTTTGAATGTGGTGCTTGCAGATGAATTTTGAGGTTCAAGATGATCGATTAATAAAAGCATAAAATAACTAGTTTATTAGTTGATACTTCAATATTATTTAACAACACGGGTACCTATGAATTATGATGTGTTTCCTAGCTATAAAATTAATGTTAAGACTTGTGTCAAAATCAATTAAGTTATGGTTTCAATTGTAGTGAATAAATTATTTCCTCCCCCTCCCCCCTAGATTTGTATTCATTTATGTCACTGACTTGTTTAGTCACTCGGTATGGTTGTAACAAAAAGATCTGAAAAAAAAAATTATGCTAGTTAAACGTTTGATAAAAATTGTGACAATTCTATGGATGATAAATAATTTAAGAAATATACTCATTGCAATAAATTCCAAAAATAGTAATTATGAGGATTCCAAACACTTAATTTTTCATCAAAACAACCTTAGCGAATGACAACCAGTAACTACTAATAACTCTATTCTGTGCTACTAAGGTACTTGGTACTTCCGTAGTGTGTGGCATTATTTTAAATGATTATATTATGTATGTAGGTGTGTGTTATATACACAGACAGGCCCTGATTTACGCATGTGCAGGCGGTGCACTAGCATAGGGCCCCCAAATTTGAAGGGCCCCTTCGGCCTTCCTATTCTATACTTTGCTACCATAAATAAAAGATATTTTTAATACGATTTAGTAAGTAGTAACTATAACCTATTTAAGGAGGCCGCCGCAGCATGCTTAGTTTTCATACGGTTTACACTAATCACTAATAAGCCAGTTGAAAAAGTCATTTCTTGGTAATAATTTTTTTCAAGATCCCCATTATTGTTTGAAATATATTCGAAGAATGAATATTCGCCATACTTTTTCCAACTTGGACATTATATTACAAATAATATATTTATCAATGCCGTGCACGAATTGTTGTAGTGAACGTTCATTCTCTGTACTCAAACGTATAAAAAATCGAATGCGCTCTACTTTAACACAAGAAAAACTGGACTCTTTATCATTACTGACAATCAACTATGATGTTACTAAACAGTTAACATTTGAAGACAATTGCTGAATTTGCAAAAAAAAAACAAGAAAAAAATGTCTATTATAATTAAATAAATGAATTGAACTTTTTATTGTTAAATATGTACCTATTATTATTTTTTACATTTTTTGTTAAAAAAGGCCCCCAAAGTTTATAGTGCACAGGGCCCCTATTTCACTAAATCGGGGCCTGTACACAGATATATATCTGTGGTAATATACTAATATACGACCAGCATTTTCTTGCTAATGCAGACGTGTCTTACTTAATCATAGATTTTAAAAATGTGTATATTTATTATGATTTTAAAAATACGTAAAAAACTAAAACATATCTTATGCGGAGTTGCAGTATCGAAAAAAAACCCATTTGTTCGTTCTTATGGAGTTATTATGGTGGCATGGTGCTATATCTTATTAAAGGGCGGTGATTCACAGTATTGTGTTTGGCAGTTACGTTGCTCCCGTTTATTACATGCGATTTTTTTTTGTATATATTATTAATTGTACGTACAGTGTATTCCTAATAGAAATATGTTGGGGTTGTCCTTTATCCTACATTCTTTTAATCCTACGGAAAGCCATCCCGCGCCATCTCCACTTAGGGTTCAGACTTATAGCACATCTAGCCATCTAGGTTGCAAAAAAAAAAGCCACTAATCACTAAATACGTATATACTATTTTTAAATATTGTTATGTAGGAAAGGCTTACGTTTCTTGTGTATGTCTAAGTCTGTGTATATTATTGTTTTCCCCATTATCTCCGAAGCATAAATAAAAATAAAATATAAAAAATACAACTAGTACCGTACCTATGCGTCTTTTTTATGATGGCCCTATCAGACTAGTAGTATTTTTATTATATTTATAAATAGACTCGAATAATCTGGTGAATAAATTATTCAATATTGTTTATAAAATCTAATAATGGTGTTTTAAATAATTGTATTGTGCTAATTTTATTATTCAGTTAGTTTTAATAGCTCATTATTATATTATTATTTATTTTATTTGTCATTAGTTGGCATTGAATGCTTATGCTTGAATAGTCATTTGTTTTATATTTGTATTTTATTTGTGTTCAATTAATTTCTTTTGTGACTTTGTGAGTGTGTATACAAATATTATAAAATCATACTACATAGGTCGCAAGCAGGCGCGGATCTAAAACGTATTTACGGGGGGGGGGGCATCTTAAATAAAATTTCAGGCTATGAGTCTGATAAAAATGCAAGTAATGCAAGTCCATTTAAGCGCGAGTCTACGGGGGGGGGCATGGCCCCTTGCCCCCCCTGGATCCGCGCCTGGTCGCAAGTAAGCAATTGACCAGTCTGCGCTTGTCCAAATTGTGAGTTCCTAATTGTATAATACAGTGGTTCCCAACCTATGGGCTGCGGCCCATTTGTGGGCCTCGAGCAGCGTGGTATTGGGCCGTGAACCATATAAATATATAATATTTAATTTTATATATTTTTAGTACATGCCCAATAATATTTCTGGTTATAATAATATTTATCAATATTACCTATCTGTCCTATCTACACTCTGTAGTGTCAAATTAGTGTCAAATAAACGCTAAGTATAGGAATAAACTGAATGTTGAAAATGATTTAATTCTAAAAATATCCAGTTTTCATCCTGATATTGATTCTCTCATGAAGGACTAGTAATGTCAAAAATTAACTGATTGTTAACTGCAGGTTTCTCGAATTTCCGAGGTTTTTGAATTTTATTCGTCAACTATAATATGATGGGAAAAATTAAAAATTAAATTTTTCATTCAAATCAATAAATAAATAATTTTACATTTACCGGGAATACCTTTAGTTTCAAAAAAAACGATTATTGAGCGCAATATATTAAAATTATCGTATCGCTCGTATCCCAACATATAATATAGTATAGTACATATTATATAATATGTAACGATACGGTCAATCAAGCCATCATAATATTTTCAAACCACGAAAATCTATAAGGAGTTGTGGGTTGTATACAGCAAATAGGTACATAAGGCTGCGAGTACACTGCATTTCTATTTTCCTTTTTAGATTCGGTGAAATTTCAAATTTCAAAAATTTTTCCAAAATATGCATATTAAGCACAATAACGGAAAAATAAGCAGTTTCCGGCAAAATATATGAAATATGCAAAAATATGCACATTCTAATTTTAGACTTGGTATCATGGTACTGAGAAATGAATTTTTTTCGCACTCTGCTATATTTTACAATAAATAAAAAAAGTATGCAAATTCTATAAGTCCCGAACCTTGCTTATTATAAATAAACCTAACCTAACCTAAGTATTTAATACTTATATTTATATATAACTATGTCAGAAACTCAGAAACATTAAAACAAGTTATTAAATAATTAAATAATTTATTAAAACTTTTTAATACTATTAAATACTTAAAATTATATAATCTCAATAATCTCAATATATATTCATCTATTTTATATCTAGAATTATATATTATATTAATTAATAAATAAATAATATTATGATTATTAAAACCCCTTTTAAGATATTATGCATAAGCAATTTATAGATGTTTTAGTATTTGTTACCGGCTAATCGTTTTCTCTTATCACTCCCCAGCACCCTTGGTATCTTTAATCATGTTGGGAGCAGCTATCATACTTGATACTTCTTCAGAAATTCAGAATTTAGTATCAACTATCTAATAGTTCGTTCTTCGATATCATTTGGCACGATTCAATGTATTCAGGTTTTACTATTTTAGCTCAACAATTCAACTATTTCATTAAAATATTAATTATTCTTCAGTAGGTACTTCAGTTATTTTTTATATTTAAAAAAAATTGTCAATGTGTTTAAAATAACAAAACAAGGTATATGATCTAAGAGCATGTCCCACAGTATTTAATTTAATTCAAAGGAAAGAGATAAATTTAAGCAATGCTATTATTATTAAAATGTCAGAACCACAAAATAGTTGAATTTTCATCTATTCTGTGTCAGGACTATCAATGCCTACAGGCGTTATAAATAATTACTACTATTGGCAACCAAAATGTACCAGCTTTAAACAATCAGTTCCATCTGTGTGTTGTTTGTAGATTTTTGTGCGGTTGTTGTTACTATCCCTTCCTGCGTTATTCACCTTAAAGGACAGATGCTTTTCGAGATGGCACTAGAGGCGACAATTGATCAACAGAATTTAATGTTCAACCCGGCCAAATTGCATTCTTCTATAAAGATACCGTTTCCGAAATCTTCGTCGATTGAAAATGAATACTTTGTTTATCATCAGGCTGATCTGTTTTCTCAGAGTTTCTCAGCGATTGAAGGCATACGCCGGATGGGGAAACTGTGTGATGTCACACTGAAAGTAAGTTAATTTACTGAAAATAGCCATTGCTTTTTATTTAGTATTATTAACTAGGTAACCAATTGTTTTTAATCAGGTAGAAAACATGTCATTTAGTGCCCATCGCATAGTATTAGCTGCTACGGTACCCTATTTTAATGCTATGTTCACGCACAACATGATTGAAAGTACCCAGAAAGACATTGTGATGCATGGAATTGATCCTGAGTAAGATTTGTTATAAAACTAAAGACATTTTTAAATATAAAAAGAAAGCTACCTATAAATAATGTTAAAATTTTTTTTTTTTAATTATAGAGCATTGGAAGCATTAATTAATTTTGCATACAGTGGTCGAATATCAATAAATGTCAATAATGTTCAGTCACTATTAATTGGAGCTTCATTTTTGCAGTTGAAATGGGTGCGAAATGCTTGTGCAACATTCATTAAAGAGAGGTAATTAAAATTTGATTTTGTGACAAAGCACATGCTACTCAACAACTATATAGCTTAATTGTTAAGTTAATACTAGATATAGTAAAAATATTAATTTTAAATTTTAAATTCTGTCCCAAGATTTTCAAGGAAGAAAGTGAAGTGTATCAATATGTATTGACATTGATACAAGTAGGTACATATCAAATTTTTCTTCTTGAAAATCTTTTTTACAGTGTACTTATAATACAAATAACTAGTAAAATAATGTTTGTAAACTATGGTTATATGCGGTTTAAAATAGCGTACTCATGATTAAAATAATTTATTATTTCAACCATGAGCTTATCCTACCTATGTTATTGAGGCAGAGTAGGTACTTTAAAAGTCAATAAACTTAACTATACTAGCAGCAACCACAAATTGACTAAAACTTATGTAATCTGAGTCAATAAAATTCTAGTTCTACAGTATTATTGCAATTTGTAAGGTTTGCTTATCTACATAATTTAATGTAATATTATTTTAATATTTACAAACCTAATGTATAATGTATAATTAATGTACTTTATGTTGTCAAGATAATAATAATCATTTAATTTGTTCTCGCATCCTATTTGAAAACTTTAGTATGAATCTTAAATAAACATATTATAACATTGTTGCAATATAGTGTTTACTAATGTAATACTTCAACGTTTAAATATGTATTAGTATACATACATTTAAAGTTAAAAATACAAATAATTGTTATATGTATATACTATATTTTAGTCATGTGGTTTGTTAACCCTATTTCATAACTCATAATAATGTTTTACATTTTAGGTTTCACCAAAATAATGTTTTAAAAGTACGTACATTAGCTGATTCATTGGGGTGCTATGGCTTAATGACTGATTCTAATAGATATATAGCTCAGTATTTTCCTGATATATCACTATCTGAAGACTTTTTAAATCTCAATATTTCTGAAATAATTGACATAGTCAATAAAGATGAACTACAGGCATCTGAAGAACAGGTAATATTAACTGCAATAATTACATAAAAGATCAAATCGAAAAGTAACAATTCAAAATTATTTTAGGTATTCGAAGCAACTATTCGCTGGGTGAAACAAGATGAATTGAGACAAGAATGTTTTCCTCAATTGCTTGCTGCTGTAAGGTTACCATTACTTTCACCTCATTACTTGGCTGATCGAGTTGCCACTGAAGAATTAATTAGATCATCTCACGAATGCAGGTTAAAAATTTTTGTCGTGTATTAGTGCTACTGGGTTTTTAAATAAAAATTATCATATTTTATTTGTCATGAATTCTGATGTTTAGAATTGTTGTAATATTGCATTTATATTTACTTAAAATGATTTAAAGTATTTGGGTACCTATATCAAGTATTTATAATTTGAAAAGCAAATGACTCTAAATAAATTATTGCAAAAAAATATTATTTTATTTATTAACACATTTTCAAGTTGATTGATAAACACATTTGTATAAGACAGTCAAAATCAAAATTTCATAGGGAGATTTATACTTATTACTAAATCTTATGATCTAAAACAATTATTACCTATAATAGTGTAATTTGTTATGTTTGCAAATAATAGATTATAATAAATCCCATTCATTTATTTATTGTTTAGAGATTTATTAGATGAAGCTAAAGACTACCATTTAATGCCTGAAAGAAGACTTTTGTTACAAAGTTTTCGCACTAGACCTCGCTGTGTCAGTTATATACGTGGACACATATATGCAGTTGGTGGACTTACAAAATCAGGTATTTGTGTGTTTAATTAATTTGGATAACATTTCTTACTTTTATAATAAAACATAACAAATTTTTGATCTAAGGCGATTCACTAAGTACCGTAGAAGTCTATAATCCCTTGACTGAACGATGGGAGCTTGCAGAAGCTATGAGCATACTGCGTAGTAGAGTTGGAGTAGCTGTACTAAATAATAAATTATATGCGTTTGGTGGCTATAATGGAATCGAAAGACTATCTTCAGTAGAAGTATTTGATCCTGCTACAAAATCTTGGAATATAGTTTCACCAATGCATCGAAAGCGCAGGTCAGTCATTCTGATACATAACAGATTTTTTATTTTATTGAAACGAGCATTCGATTTTCTAAAATATATTTATGTACCATAATAATTGTTAAGTTCTTATATATTTCTTAAAAAATTAAAATAATATTATATTTTAGCGCTCTTGGAGCAGCTGCACTAAATGATCGACTTTACGTTTGTGGAGGTTTTGATGGAGTCAGTTCATTAAATATTGTTGAATGTTATCAACCTGATTTAGATCGTTGGACAATCATTACACCAATGCAAAAACATCGAAGTGCTGGCGGTGTAGTAGCTTTTGATGGTTATATATATATTCTGGGAGGTCACGATGGTCTAAGTATTTTTGACTCTGTAAGTTGATAAAGATTTATTAAAAAATAGTAAATAATAGTCTTCAAAATTTAATAATAAATAAAAAAAAATAATATAATATCCCAAGACATAAAAATGTTGATTTCTTGTTCTAAATTCCATCAAAAATTGAAATCATCTTACTGTATTTTTATATTTCTAAAAAATGTTGTACATTAAGTTTTAAAAAAATATATTAAAATAGACATGAATTTGAAACATATCAAAAATATGCTTAATTCATTATATGCAACAAAACTTTGCAAACATTCTTTAAAGTTCATAACACAAATTTCTTTCCAATTCCACAAGTTATACTAACTAGAAAAATTATGTAGTTCCATGAATATCATCCCATTAAGAATGATAAAATAAATTACAAACATTGTTCTTATTAGTAATAAGTATTTGATTTTTACTTACAGGTTGAACGGTATGATACATATACAGGCCAATGGCTATCTGTAACACCTATGTTAATGAAACGTTGTCGCTTAGGAGTAGCCACATTGAATGGTAAACTTTATGCTTGTGGAGGATATGATGGATCAACATTTTTACAAACTGTTGAAGAATATGATCCTCAGACAGACAAGTAACGACACAGAAAACACAATGTTAAATTTTAGTGTAGTTCAATTTACTATTGTGGTTTTACAGGTGGAGATTTGTGGCTTCAATGAACGTGACAAGGAGCCGCGTGGCTCTAGTAGCCAATGCTGGAAAATTGTGGGCCATTGGTGGGTATGATGGATTTCTGAATCTACCCACTGTAGAAGTGTACGACCCGAAAGCTGACTGCTGGACATTTGCAGCTTCCATGTGTGCCCATGAAGGTGGAGTCGGAGTCGGTGTCATACCCATACAAGAGTCAGAAGTTCCATGAATATGTTTGTCTGTTGTGGTTAATATAATAATAACAGTACCATCTATAATATCTACTCGCGGTGAAAGCGGTAGAATAGGTAACAAATGGATTTGGTAAAAACAAAAACAATGTCGTGCATCATATTATTTATTTTGAGTGTTGACTGATAGTTTTTGTCACATTTTGGATGACGATATCACTGTGTAAACTATATTAATTTGTTTATTAAACACTCATTCCAAATAGGGTAACAGTTGATATTAAAAAAGTTGTATTCAGCCCCAAAACAGATTTTATAAGTGTAAATTAGTCTGCTTATCTCCATGAATGTATTTATGTCCTCTGAAAATATTTAAATTGTACCACTGCTTGCCAGGAGTTCAATATTGCTTCTCACTAGTTTTTATTTGGTCAAACTTTCCTGTATAAAATATAAGTTCTTATACTGTGATAAATTTTTGTTAGCTCCCACTCCTATATTGTGTTACCTACCCATTTATTAATAGAAAATTGCTTAAATGATAAATGTATGTGAGACATACTGTGGTATTAAGTAACCAGGGGTATTTTGTAATACCGAATCAAACATGTATATATAAGTACGTAATGTTATCGTTAAATTAAATTATGTAAATTTAAGTCGAAAACCTATTGTCCTAACCTATAACTGTGAAATTTGTTACTCTACATTACTAAAAATGTTGTTATTTTGTTTTAAAATGTATAACATAATGACTAATAATATTACATAATATGTTTTCTGAACCTATGTTGGTTTTGTGCTCTTATAAGAATTTTTACTTTTTTTTTATTTAGATGTATATTATATGTGTTAAAAGTGATGTTATGAAATCTTTTTCCTTTATATTAGATCTTATTAAAATTTGTAATAAATAGGTATTATAAACTTATTAGTATTATTATAATACTAATTATATGATTAATACATTTAAATGAAAAATAAAATGAGACGATTATCATTTATCACATATATTGCGTATTATTTAATTCTCACAATAACTTACTATCATTGCCATCAGCTATAAAAAATAATAATATATTATTGTAATACCAAGTACTAAATCATTAGGAAGAGTTGCTAATTTCTTCATGACTGTCAAACTAATAAAATGAAGAAATTGTTATTTTATGTACTTAATATAATATGTTTGTACTTGTAGGAACACTTTTTAGGTATTGATATGGAGCCACAAATTCATGGACACTATACGACATCATAAGAATGGCACCTCAGGGTTATTTCCAGAATAACAACACAATGATGACATATTATACATAATATGTTAATAGATTAAACAGAAGGATTTTTTTTTAAATCAATTGGTTAAAATGTATTATGTACCAAATAGTGTGTATCTCGCTTATACATGTATGATAATATGATATAATTAAATAACTTACATTATGATTTAGTTATTTGCAGTTATGAAAAGGGCATTGGCTAAATTGTTGGATCATTAGTCTGAGAGAAAAATGAAAGGGAATCTGCAGTATGGCATTTTCGGATTCATATTCATTATTAATTATAAATGTTGATGAATTAATAATAATTGCTAACATATTTAAATAGTTATATACACAATATTTTCTAAACTTGTTATTAATTTAAGTACAAAAGGTTAAAAAAATCAAAAATTACCTACTCATTAAAATTTAGATTTTGAAACGTTAACATTTTTAGAAAATTCATCCACAAAATAATTTACAGTACACAAGAGGATTTACATTTTAAAAACAGACAGTGTATGTATATCAACAGGGCACTGCACTATTCGTACAAAAAATCTAATGAATTCGAAAATATGGTCTTTAAGCAAATTTAAAAATTCCCAAAATTAGATCATGATTAACTGCATTATTGATGAATAAAAGGGTGAGCATGTTTGTGGAATCACCCTGTATGGCTGTATAGTGTATACAAATAGGGAACAAAATAAATGGCAGCCAAGTAGGTATATGATATCTGTAATTCTATAATAGTGATTTTAAAATGTCATTATGAATTATTGTAGCCAACGTTAAAAAATATAATTATTTGAGTAACAATGAAACTAATTAAATACTTATTCAAAAAGCACAAAAATGATATTGTGTATAAAAGGGAATGTCGGCCGTTTTTCAACAGGTTCTATACTATCAGATTTAATGATCATTTAAGTAGGTACCTACATAATTAAAAACTAATGGCCTTAAACTCGCCCAATGCATTTCTGTTGGTAGATAATATAATTTATGGTTGATTGTATGTACACTACAATACATTTATTCCTAATCGATAAGGAACAATACGAAAAATTAAAAAAATGTGGCCAGTTGGTGTCGTCTAAAAGGCTGAACTTTTTTTGTTGAAATGTTGCCATGTCGTTTTTGCGAAAATCATCATTAAAATGTATAAGCCACACTCGTTCGATGTACAAAACTAAAAACCTAGGCAAGAAATAGGTATGTAATATTATGTCCGTATTCCGTTGACCTCTATAATATTGATGTTATTTCAAATGCTTTTAACATTTTTGTATCAATAAAATAATATGTTTCAAAAGAAGGTATTATACTTACACCTATCAACATTCTACGGAGAATATATACTATTATATAATATACATATGCGTCACATTCACTTTAGAAATAAAACATAAAAGCTGGTTTTACTGCGGTATTAGAGTTAGGTATATTTCAAGTAGGACCATTTCCTAAAGCTTTGAACATTTTAATTTTATTTAAGCTTCTAGTTTCTAGAATAATAATTACTAATATATTGTACCTAATACCGTTAATATAATTTCAGGAATATCGGATGTTAAATTAATAATAATATGAAACCAAAATAATATGATTTTTTTTTTTGATAAAAATATATCGTTGGTTTCCTTAAACTAGTTAAACTGGACGAGTAGATTAAATACACTTATTAAAATATATTAAATATTACGAGGTGGATTCGTTCGGCTTCCTACTTATACAGTGTAGAATAGGTAATTGACAAAAATGAATTAGCCGTCTATAATAATTACACTTTTTATCTTTGTAAAAGCCGTTCGGCGTAAATTTATATCAATTAAAGGAATAAATAAATAAACTATTTTTCGTCATTATTTTTGTGTCTTTTCAACATAGTGATTTTGATTAAGTTTTATTATTTTTACGTTTTTTTTTTTACTAACTGACAACATTAATAAATAAACATAAACATTTTAATGTATATTATATTAATCAGAATAAAATGTCGTTGTTTTCTTAAATGCTGATTATCAAATATTGAATATTGAAAAGATTTATTTTAAGTTTAGATACAAGAAGGCACGAGTCAAAATGTGATTTGAGCCCTCATGTTTTTCGTCACATTGTTATTCTTGCTTTCATCATATTATAATTATACTCTTATTGTACAATTCTTTATAGATTCAAGATTATGTATTATCTTGTTTTAAATAATAATAAAAATAAGAGGAGTAAATGATTTCCAGTAACGCAAAAATCTACTCTGAAAATGAATAAGTTTGTCATTGTATCATTCTATATTGGTAATAATTACTTATCATATTTCTATTTTCTATGCAGTATAATTTGTATTATGCGTTTTGACTTATGCTTAGACAGTGCAGGGTCGCTTATGTGTATATTTTAATCATTAATGTAGATACCTAGGTATATAATATAATATTAAAAGTGAACTTTTTCGACCGCGGTATACTGAAAGTTAAAGACATTTCTCGGAATCGCGGTATGATTGAAAAGTACACACTATGGCACTGAAGATGGCTTTAAGATAGTCTGTATCTTGCATTACCAAAAACCATATTAAAGGAGAAGACCTACTTTTGATAGTGATAGGGATACATTCACCGTTGAGCCTTTTCATATTCAACATTTGGTATATGATGAGGTTAGCAGGTTAGGTTAGGTAACCTCGTGAGTAGGTAGTGTGGTTTTCTCGAGGGCCGTACTTTTGCGCGAGCATTATCGAATGAGGGAATAACTAGCAGTTTCCGTTTACATTTTGCCCTTAAGGCCGAGGAAAATAATTTATTGGTTTTTAAGTTTCAAATCTTCATCCTATAAATATATTATCGCCCGGAAATACCAAAAACGTTTTCAAAACAGTTACATTTTTATAAGATTGCCCGTGCATGGTAATACCTACAGCGTTTGCATATTGTTATATTGGAATGGAATTACTGTTGTCTTCGTGTTGTTGACGATAGCGAATCAAATAAAATATATCGCCACAGAAAAACGGGATAATGCGAACCGATGGCCAGTGGGGTAAGTAGACATTTTTAGATAAGTATCAAGTAGAATTGAGTCGAGAATATAATATGGGCACTACAGTGTAGCTATAACTTAATATTTTATACCGGCTTGAACACACTTGATAACTGAACCGTATCTATATTATTAAAAAGCGTCGGAATTAAAATCGCATTTACAATATATTAATTGAATTATATTCATATTATATACGTCACATTCAATTCGGTATATATATATATATTTTTGGAGAAAAGTGCCATTAGTTACGCACACAAATTGGTCATTTCATCAACAAATATCGGTGAGTATTACGGCGTTTTATATAGTATATCGTATTAATAATGTTCTAGGTAGGTACTTCTAAAAATAACACGCCCAGCCGGTGACAAAACCGTATATCGGATTCAGCAGCGTCACACGATAATAATATATGACGTTACAGAAATGAATTCATTACGGAAATCATTTAATATTTAAAAGCGTTGTTCAAAATTAGTTCATATCATAGTATATTGATGAGATATTTGACACGCAATTCATACATTATATTATACGAATGTGTCCCTGCTGCCCAAAAACGATTCGTCAACTCGCTGCGAAAAAGAGAATATCAGAAAAACGATAATTGGTATTTATTATTATTTTTCCAGACGATTTTCAGTTCGCTTTTTTACAACACTGACGTTGTCGTTATCGTCTGCACCGAATCCCGGTGAATCATAAATTCGTGATAATAATTAGTATATTATTATTTTTGTGTCCAACAGTCAATACTACATGGCAACACTTATTATTATTTTCACCGATTGGTCCAAATATACCGCCGTGGTGAAATTCATTTTCGTATTTTTCAATTACCTCCAGACTGTATGTGGGACTTATGGGCGTGATGGCTGGAAGCCAGTGGAAGGTGAGGTTCTTCTGTTATGTATGAACTCATGCACAAATAATTATTGGATAAGGGGTTCATTTTTCGTCAAAATCGGGTTTTAATTGAATTTGGTAAATCAAAATATTACGAATTAATCTGTTCAAGAACGAGATAAATCCGAGCAATCGTGTACCTATAGGAAATATAATGTAACTGGGAGCAGTCTGGGTTTTGTTTCGTTTAAAAACCAGATAGCTCCGGAGGTTTTGTGTGTTTCTTGAAAAGTTTTGAAAAATGGAGCTGTCCGGTTCTTGTACGGACCCCTTTAGTACTATAATATTAATAATATTACAACTATTACTATGTTAGTATACTTGTAATATTTGATATCACATAATATCGACTTCGTTAAATACACGATTTTTCGTAATAATTAAATATGATTGTGTGTATATTTAATATATTATATAAAAAAAAAAAATTTATATTATAAAATCAGAGACTTATGAGTTATGACGAATGATCTGCTGATGAGGCACCTCGCACCTAGGTTGAGAATAGCTGATGTCACAAAATCGCAGTTTAAAAAAAGATTCATAGTCCACCCGCTGCAACGGCCATAAATAGGTAAACTTAAAATTGTGAGCTGCGAAAAATTGTTGTGGTAAGTGTAACAAATATAGATTATTTTATATT